TTTTTTTTTTCTGAAATATCTAGAAAAATTTAAGCAATTTGTTTTGGACTATGTTCATTGACTTACTTAGAAAGTAACTTAAATGACTCATTCCCTGCATAATCCTATAACTCCTTTAGTACTCTGATTAGCCCTGAGTGTTACAAAATCTCCCTTGTACCATGGAAATGGGTTTCTGTAGGTCCTTCAATCTATTTTGATCTCTGAAGGAAGAGGTCATGTATTATATTTATCTCTGTTTCCCCTAGAACAGGACCTGGTTGGTTCTCAGTAAGGATTTTAGGCATGTTGTTTTGGAAAAAAAAAACAACAACAACAACACTGTTTTGATGTCAGACAATTTCAGTTTAGAAATTTGGACCTGCTAGGAGTCAAATCTTTGAAGACTGTTTTATGGCTGAAAATATCGCTATATTTCAAGAGCTTTTCAAAACATCAAGCAATAGAGTAGGATAATAGGTTTATTTTACTCTTAACATTGACGATATGTTTTTGCCTATATTGTTAATAGTTTATAGATAAGTAACCAACTGAAAGCACTAAAATATTAGTAAGTTATTGAAGAAGAAACAGAAAAACCAATTTTAATTAGATATTTGATAAAAGTATAATAATATCTTAAGTCTCTGAGAATAATTAGTATAACATTCAAAATGTTTTCCCTATAATGTTTTACACATGATTTAAACATCAATAACTGAAAAATATTTATTTCCAAGGTAGCTGTCATGACTGAATGAATATTACATTCAGAAACACCATTTTAGAAAGAATATGTGGAACGATAAAACAGGTATCATCTCTCAAATAGCATCAGAAAATTATGATAACCACTGAGAAAATCCAAACACTGATTTAGAATCTACCAAGGAAGTAGTCTTGATTCTTAATTAAAATTTACTTGAATATACTTAAAATTTTAAATGGACTCATCTTCAAATCACTTTATTTAACATAATAGTTGGCCACTACATTTTTATTTTAAATCTGATTATTGTTCCAAGTTCTAGAAAATATTAATTTGTAACACCAGAGTTTCTCACACCACTTGATGGCAAACTTTGGCTAAAGTAGTATTTGTATTATTAGTTGATTTTCACAATAAACTTATATCAGAAATTACTCTCCTTCTATTTAATGAGTGATAAAATGATTACTGGATAGTTTGTCAATGTTAGTTAGTTTATGCAATTTTTCAAAGAGAATGAAAAAATTAATAAATTTTTGTGTATTAATCAATATTTTAATATATTTTTTATCAATTTTTATTACCTTGTAATAAAAAGACATGGTCTACTTGATTAAGCAAATTATAAATTTTAACAGGATCCTTATATTCTTATAAGTGGCAATATTCATGGTAGGAAAGTGAATAAAGAAGCAAGTTAATGTCGATTTACTTCTTTAAAGGAGACCACATATTAAAAAGTCACGTTAGAATGCATCTTCTTCAACAGAGTCAAAGGAAGTACTTTCAGTATAAATACTAATAGA